CAGTCAGTCCAGGGTGGAGATGGAGAGAAACAACAGACTCCAGACATGCTTGTCATCTTAACAAGATGGCGTGGGGGTCCCTCAGCCCTGGGTTTGAGTCTTCATCCTGCCGTGTACTCACTGGCTCTGCACCCTGCTGTGTCACTCCCCTCGAGCCTCCATTTCCTTTTCTGTAAAATGGGAATGATGAAATCCACAAAGAATGAGGAGGAAGAGACATGAAATCACCCAGTTTGCCATCTGGACTGGTAGGTGTATCAAAACATCCATTTCTTTCCTTCCTTTCAAACGTGGGCCATCAGGTCACCAACCAATGCTGATCTAACACATCACAACTAGGAGATGCTATGAAAACTGGGAGTAAACACTCGTCACCAAGTTCTCCCAGCTTTGGATATATTGTCACACACCCAGGCCCTACGGGCCCCCCCGGCCTGCCTTGGGGACAGGGCCTGTCTGGGTTTAGCCTTGGGGGTCAGAGCAGTATGCCTGAGTGAGCTGGGCCTCTGCCCACAGACAGCCAAGTGGGAGGGCAGGGAGGAGGTGGACGCCTGGACATTAGCACCCGATGATGTTACTTCCCACAGAGAGAAATACGTTGGAAAGAAGGTGGCAACCACTCTAGCAGATTTCCTTCCAAATCCAGGGGAGGTAAGGAGATGGAGCCACTTCAATCCTGGAGACCCAAAGAAAATAGTCTCTGATGGGAGAGAGATGGGCTGGCTGGCCTTGCCCTCCTGCTCGCTGCCCCTGGGGGCCTTGTCTAATGACAGGGCTCCTAACCCAGCCACAATCCTTTCCCACCCTCCTGGCTTAAAGATGATCTCTCTTACTAACAGAAATCCCTTTTCCAAAACAGCCACAGTCAGGATAGAATTCTTTGGATTTTCAAAACTAGAGTTTGAGGGATTTTGGTGGTGGAGGGTGGTCTTGTTTAAAACAAGGTGTAATGTTTGAATGTAACTCGTTTTTAAATCTGAACAGTGACCCACAACTAGAGCAACAGAAACAGGGTCCCAGTGGTAGAGTCTGTGTGAAGGGCTCAGGAGACTCTGCTTTCATTCACTTTCTGGTCTTGTCAGACCAGCCAAGAAACCCCAAGGACAGGTGACTGAAAGGCTAAGTGTTAGTATACACATGCCATATGCCCTCCACTACAGTGGCACTGCTCTTATTAGGTCGGCCTCATCAGGAAAATTTAAATCCAATTCAATGTGGTTAGCCCCAGGTTTGCCCTCAGCAAGAGGATCTGGAGCCTCCAGTGTCTTAGCATGAGCAGCTGAAGAGGAAAGAAGAGTGTCAAACTAAAGCCAAGCATCACAACCACTCAGTCTCTGACTTTCCGTCCTTACAGCCCATGGAGGGTGGAAGGGCAATTTCCCACGTACAATGCCCATGCCCACCTGTGATAAAACCGCTGCCCCTGCCCAGATGATAAATTATGAAAGACATATCAAAGTAGGAGCTTCCATTTATTATTACTTTAGTTGTTGTAAGGAATGTTTACTCCTTGCACTTGCGCCCGAGACAATTAAAAAAAAAATAAATGAGATGAAATTATCTGCAGATGAAAGACTCTGGTGTGGAGCCAGGCCCACCAGCCCTCCTCCAGGGTTTCCTCTTGGCAGACTGAAGCACTGCAACCCATCATTAACCAGCCACCAGGAGGATCTGGGTTTACGCAAAGGAAGAACACAGAAATATTTCTCAGAAACCAGGGCCACACACCATTAAAAGTTAACAAAAGCAATTCCACTTCTGGGTATATACCCAAAAGAAGTGAAAGCAGGGACTCAGATATCTATACACCCATGTTCACAGCAGCATTAATCACAAAAGCCAAAAGGTGGAAGCAACCCAAGAGCCTATTGATGGACAAATGGATAAACAAAAGGTACACACAACGGAATATTATTCAGCCTTAAAAAGAAAGGAAATTCTGACACATGCTACAACATGGACGAACCATGAAAACACTATGCTCATTATGCTAAGTGAAATAAGCCACTCACAAAAGGATAAATACTGTACAACACTATTTATATAAGGTATCTAGAATCGTCAAGTTGATAGAGACACAAAGTAGAATGCTGGTTACCAGGGGCCAGGGATGGGGTGGGTGGGTATGGGGAGTCAGTGTCAATGGGTAGAGTTTCAGTTTGGGAAGATGAAGAAAGTTCTGGAGATGGATGGTGGTGATGGCTGCATGACAATGTAAATGCATTAAATGCCACTGAACTGTACACTTAAAAATGGTTAAAATGGTAAATTTTATGTGTTTTTTACCACAATTTAAAAAAAAAGAATAAATTTTAAAAAAGAGAAGGAAGGATAGAAGGGAGGAAGGGAGGGAGGGAAAAAACGTTAATGCAACTCCTAGAGTTTATGACTCTGAAAGGGAGGGCAACTCGGTGCCCTCATGTCGTACCCACAGAGGCCACGTCTTGAAAACAGATCACTAGTCAAGGGTCTCCCGGGGATGCACACTGTGGGCTTGCTTTGCAGAAGAGCCTATCCTGTGAGTAAGTCTGTGGGTCCCAAGAGTCACTTATCATGAAGACACTACTCTCGAAGGGCTACCAAAGGAGCCTCAGCCTTAGAGCACAGCATGTCTGAGGGGGGCGTAGACAAGACAGCGGGAATTTCCCATGGACAGGTATGCATCTGGAAAGCCTGCCTGACAAAACAGAGCAGGGGCCCCAGAGTCTTATCTTTACAGCAAGTAGGATTTCCGCAGGGCTCACCCATCCACTAGCCCAGGGTGGGGTTCATGAGCATCTATTTTCCTGTGGCCAGTTAGGGAGACGTTTGGCCTGATAGCCATGGCCCCACCAGTGACTTCCTAGGTGACCTTGGTGATGTCCCCGCCTCCTTGCTCTTGGGCCTCCTTCAGCCATCCCCCACCCCCACAGCACAGCCCTTGCCCTGCCTACTCACTCCCTTTCTGTAGCCATCTGACCCTTTGCTGCCAGGCACAGGCACTCTTTGTGGCAAAACCCCTGCCTGCCTGACGAGAATAGGCTCAGAGCGGTCAGACACCACCTTCCAGGTCTGCGGTCAGTGGCAAAGCAGGGGTCCTGGTCCAGGCCTGTCTCAGCCTAAGCCCCACACTCATAACACCCGCTCCCCTTTCCCTCAACAAAGTCCTCCTTGACCCTGATTCCCTCTAGCGAAGCTCTTTTCTCTCCTCTCCCTTAGCCAAGTTCGTCTGCAGCTGCAGCTTCTACTTCTTCACTTCCCATTCCCATTTCGGTTCGCCCCTGTCCAGCTTCCACCCCCAACAACCCCTAAAGCTATTCCTACAGGCACCTGGCCACAGCATCTGTCATTGCTAACTAGTCCCTTCTTGCACCTCTCACCTCTTTCCTTAGGGTTGACCTCCTCCCAGTCTGTGTCCACCCTCTGCCAACTCCTCATCCTCTGCTCTGCTCCCCAGGACTGGTGCTCCACTGGGCTGTGTGTGGCCAGCTTCTCTACCCACCCGATGTGCTCCACCTGGACAATGCAGCAGTTCCAAGCTCTATGCTGAAAAGCCCCAGACCCTATTGTCCAGCCAGGACCTCTGTCCTGATCTCCATAGGGAACTCAAATGCAGCTTGTCCAGAATGGAACTCTTCGTCATGTCCCCACTCTGCCTCTCTTCTCACCAGCCAGTGGCTCCACCATCCACCCAGGCTTGTAGCCCAGGTGCACCCTGGATTTCTCTCACCTTTACCTCCTGCCTCACCAAGTCCCACACCCTGCCAGTCACCAGTTCCTGCGGGTCCTTTGTCCCAGCACATCCTCCCCTCTGTATGACTGCCTCCTCCATCCTCACTCCTACCCTTTAGTTCGCATACTCCATTCTCGATGCTCCTTCTTGCCTTTTCCCACTGCAATCCACCCTGTGCACAGCTTCTGAGGTTGTCCTCCCAAACATGGCTCTGGACCTGTTCCTCCCCACCCCTTCAGCAGCCCCACCCCTCAAGCTCTCTTACCTGCCCTCCCCAACCCAACCCTGTCCACGTGTCCACCGACACTCCTAAGGCTCCTCCACTCCCTGCTGCTGCAGCTGCATCACACCACCGGGCCTGCCCTACATGCAGCTCCTGCTGCCCCCTCTGCGTCACCTGCCACTCCTCCCCCAATGTGGCAAACACTTACTCTCGCTCAGCTCAAGGATCAGCACTTTATGAAGCCTCCAGGCTGCAGGGCAATCACTCACCAGCCCTCCCCCTGGACCCCAGTGGGCCCCACAGGTACTTTTACTGTAACACGGATGCTTTATTCGTCTGTTGATACCACTGCCTTCCGAGAGAGGGACAAGGTCTGTTTTGCACTTGTATCCTGAGCACTAACACAATGCCAGGAGGTCTTCAAGAATGCTTGTTAGGAAAGCAGATAGATGGCTGGAGTTTGGGATGTGTTCAAAGATCCTTCTAAGTCTAAAATTTGAGGAGTGTAGCCCCTCTCCCACTCCCCCAACTTGTGAAGGACCTCTTATCACCACCCATCAAATTGGATGTAGACGCAGGCTCCTTCCTTGATCCCGTCCACGAGACAACCTCTCTCCCAACCTCTCACCAGGTCCTCACTGCACATAGCAAGCTCCGTTTTACAGGAAAGTTTGGTCTTGATTCCTCCTCCTAGACTGCTGACTCCTTAGAGCAGGGACTGGGCTCACTCACTTTGAACACCCCTTGGAGAGGGTCTTGCACACAGCAAGGGTCTCGGAAGGCCTCTGGTAAGGAGTGGCAGGCAGGGCTCAATCACTGAGCAGACCTAGGCACTGAAACACTGCACCAAGGAGGGCTCGGCGGGCAGGCCCTCTCCCATGGGGACGCTCATCAGCCCCCTGCCCTCCACGTGGCCCAGGGGTCACAAGGCTGTGTGTGCCTCCATCCCCCAACCCAGCTTTTTCCTTAACTGAGGAGAAAATGAGGGCATAGCACCCATGTCCTAAGCACTCATCCAGAAGGAAACAGAGCCCATGAGGGTCAGAACCCCGACTCCAGACTCACCATGTTCATGACAGTGAGGATGAACCTCTGGGCAGCCTCTGCCCCATGGTACTGCACCATGTCAGCGTCGGCCACCACCAGTGTCTCCACCGTATGCTCGTTGGTGAGCTGGATGGCATTCCTCCGCTCTCGCCAGTCCCGCGATGGCCTGCCTCTCCTTGGCTTCTTTTCTAGAAGACAACGGAGACATTTGTGCAGTCCTTAGTCTTCTGATTTCCAAAACCATATAGCAAATAGGCCTTCCATTGGACCTCCCCAAGAGAATGGTCAGTCTCAGCTGGCCAGTAGATGGACCTCCACCAGCACAGGGCGAGTCTGAGTTTGCTCACTAGAGGAAGAGCTGACAAGCAAAAGCAAGAGAGCTTGGCAGGCCAGACATCAAAAGGAATCACACCCATCCACCATCACTGCGGAGGAGGCAAACAGGACTGAACATCCCAGAAGAGAAGACCTGTCCCTCAGAGGAACTTGGAGAACTACACAAAGTCTGTGGGAAAAAAGGAAGACTGGGCCAGTGGGGAGGGATCAGAAAGTGCCTGGGGTCAATGACAGAACTAGCCAAGACTTTCTGAAAGAGCTACACCCACTGCTGATAACTGAGACCAAAGAAGCAGGGAGCCAGGGGACAGGACAGGACAGGACATTCCCCTGGAAGCTGGCATTCCAGAGACTCTTCTGAGAGTCATGAAAAAGGAGCCATAAGCATGAGCAGACACAAAAAGTATTATTTAAAAAAAAAAAAATCAGGACAAAATGAGGAAAAAAAAAATCGCAAGACACATACAACCAGCCCAAGATGCAAGTTTGTCTCTTCCTCACCATTGGGAAGGGTTATTGGTAAAAGTGTGAGTAATCCTCCGCTGACTCTTTAAATAAACGGATTCCCTATAAGACCTTACTTTGCTAAACACCTATTGTTATTAATCTGAGCCCACATGGGAACGTCTGACCACCCAAAGCCGCGGTGTGAGGACTCACCTAGTCTTTGTTGGTGGAAACACCTCTGACCAACACCAAAGGTTGACATGAATAACACGCTCTTCCAGAATCCAAATGTGAACAGAGAAGTAGTTCTTTAATTTGATAGCTGTGATTTCCATTTTAGCACTAGCCCATAAAAAAGCCATCTCTGCTACAATTTCCACACAGTAAGCCCAGCCTACATATGCATAAACCGGCTTCATAAAGCGACCTAATCAGTCCAGAGTCAAAAATGCACACTATGAAATAACCAGAGATATGGGTCATAAAACAAATAAGAATCCTCTGTACCATGAAATTTACAAGTGTGAAAAATTGGAAAACAATGTAAATATCCAACCACAGAGAAAGCCCCCAATAGTAAAACAGTACAGAGCCATGAGAAGCACATTTGTGAAGATTATTTAGTGCTGTAGAAAGCAGCAGATGTAAATCTGTATATATAGTGAAATGCCAATTTTACAAAGATTTTTTACACACAAGTATCTTCAGGCTCCAAACACAGGTAGATAAGTAAATAAGTAAATAAATAACTAATCAACCAACCAACCAAGAAAAATCTTAACTAAAATGTGAATGGTGTGTGATGTGTGATCTTCATTTTCCCTTTCTTTCCTCTGTATTTTCCAAATTTATACAACCAACAAGTATTACTTTATTTAAAGTAAATATCACTGAGTCTGAGAAAAACACAGAAGTCACTTTTAAACTTTAAATAACAAAACAGAAGGTATGGGGGAGCAAAGTATGTCATCTGACTTATCAGAGATGCAAATGAAAGGCGTAAATGTCTTGTCAGCTCCACAGGATGATTCCCTCCTTGCCCGGTGCCATGCCCCCCTCCCATCAAGACTACGGGGCCTCAATAGGGGAACAAGGGCAGGAAGGGTTTGTTCCAAGACAAAAGGCAAGATCTTAAATGGTACTGCCTTTGCACATGAGCAGAATGAAAGAGGTCCCTTGTTGAGGATCTCTCTATGAACCTGCACCCACATTCACCAACCAGTCATCTCCGAACGTGAGGGAAAGAGGAAGACCTTGGGTGATCTCCCAATTCCGGGCTCAGTCTGCTTGCCAGGTGCTCACTGCCTGGATCAGGCCAATCTGTCCAACCTGGAATTTGGGATGAGCCACCTCACTCCCATTTATTTACTTACGTATGTGTGTATATATGTAAAGGTATGCTTTTTGGTGAGGAAGATTAGCCCTGAGCTATTGCCAATCTTCCTCTTCTTTTTTTTCCTCCCCAAAGCCCCAGTACATAGTTGTGTATCCTAGTTGTAAGTCCTTCTAGTTCTCCTATGTGGGATGCTGCCACAGCATGGCTTGATAAACAGCGCCATGTCCACACCCAGGATCCAAACCTGTGAACCCCAGGTCGCTGAAGTTGAAAGTGTAAACTCAATCACTGTGCAGGCCCCCTCACTCCCATTTTAAAGTAGCAGAAGTGAAGGGTCACCCAAGTGTAACCAGCACGCCCACAACCTCCCAGGCAACCAGGCCCGAGTCAAACGGTGCCTTAGCTCTTCTCAAAGTCAGTATTGATAACCCATCTCTTGGAGTCACCAACTCATTGTTCTCACCTGCAGATGTTCCTCACATTGGCTGCTCGGTACGTATTTTCACACCTTGTCATATATTTTCAGGTTCTCATATGGAAACATCTGCATTTTCAGCATGACCTGAAGGATGCATTAGTACTATCTCTCTGGGAGATGGTGAGCTTGAACATACAACAGCTGAGAGTCTTCTGAGAAAAGTAGCCCATTACTCCTGGACCAGAGGAGCAGGTGGCTCCTGGACATTTAACATATCAAAATCCTGCACTGGGCATCAGTCTTTCAAGTCTATAAAGTAGAACTAATATGACTAATGAGACCCAGATGAACCTTGAAGAGCTGATAAACACGGTGTCATAAAGGGTGAAATGCTGTGGGTTAACATAAGCCCAGAGTACTAAGTGACAGGTAAAACACAACAGCAAGGTATTCTGTGGGTTTTAAAGGCTTTTCCCCATGACTATCTCATTTGTTCCTTTCATTGCCCCCAGCCCGGGCACAGAACTAGCTGAGAAATAAATATTCACTGAATGAATGTATGCATGAATGAGTGAGTGGAATCTCTATTTCCCAGATAACAAAGCTGAAGTCAAGCATTAGGCAGTGGGGAATCTGGTCCCAGAAGCATGGCCACCCCCCTCACCTCTAACTCCCCCCAGCTACACTGCCTGTGTGTGTGAACATGTACCTCAGGGCCATCTGAGCTTACAACGTGAGGGTGAGAAGAGCTGGAGAAAACTCAGCAGGGAAAGAGTCTGTGCTGAGCATAATGAATTTGACTTTGCTGCCACGGGCAGCAGGACTTGACCAGAACACAGTGCGTGGTTCTCACAGCACGCGGCTCTTCTGCGCAGAATTCAGTGACTGGTGCTCCTTCTGTTTAGATGGTCTCCAGCTTATTCCAGGCCCTTCGGCAACTGCAGCATAATTATCCCACATGGCTCCCTCCCACCCCCACCCCCAGCACACCGTGCTCCTGCCTGCACTCCCCTCACTGAACACTGCTAATTGGGGCTGTCATGCCAGAGCCACACTAGGCTGACTGGTGACTCCAAAACACATCCAGTGCTCTGCCCTGTCCCCGCACTCAAGAGCTTGAGAGGCCACTAGCCTTGATTCATAACCCCAGCACACAGTTGGGTTTCAGGAACTCGGAAGTCATCAGATTTCGCAAGGCAATATGGCGCGTGTGGCTGCATACTGAATACCACTTTCAATGAGGTCTAGGCCAGCACGTCAAGATCAAAGGCACGACTACATCAGCAGTGAAATCAACAAATGGACGCTTGATAGCCTCACATCAATACAAGTCAGGCTTTGCCACAAAATGAGCAGCAAAAATCCTGGATTTTGGAATTGCAGCTAAGAGGCCAAGGACCTGTATTCCCTTTCCATGCAGGGGTGGTGGCAGAGGCTAACAAGGGGGTGGAAGGGGTGGGAGGCTGGAGGGAGGTCCACCCTCCTCCTCTTTCCCTGCTCCCATCAACCACTTCACCAGCAGAGCTCAGGCTGCAGCCATCTATTTTGATGATTATTCCTTTCCTACAGGGACAACAGAACCATAAGACATTTTTATCTTTAATTCCCTGAACTGTATAAACAAACCCTAATAGACAAAGTTTCATCAACACCAATATTCACAGATTATAAGCATCTTAGAAAGTAAGAAGAACACCAGTTTCAGAATAACATGGGTACTGGATTCAGACCTCACCAGAGAGGTCACAGCTCAGGCTGGGCAGGCATGCAGCCGTCTGGAGGGCCCTCCAAGCTCAGTAATCAGCCGCCTCCAGCCACTGTGGGAACAAGAGAGGCAGTCCTCACCCTGCTGATGAGGACAGACCACATCACTGTGAGGCCCCAGGCCCTCTCCTATTGTCACAGGCTCCAGGGATCACTCCCAAGTCCAGCCCAGCAGTTTCTTTTGCCAGCACATTGCTGGAGTTGGTGCTGACTTGGTAGATTTTCAATCTCTGGCTTCACATTATTTTTCTTACATTTATTTTCCCTTTGTCCCAATTATCCATTAAAAAAGAAAATCGCATGTATTTATGCAGGATACCCCAAATCTGTTGGGAACAGATGAAGAAGAGCAAACGACAAGAAAGAAACAAAGGACATTTGAATGTTGTACTTTCAGAATACTTAAATTATAATTTATTCTAAGAGTTTGGGACTGTTGAAAATGCTGAGTAAATACATAAATTGTCGTAGCTACTAGTTTTGCTCTTGGCAAACTAAAACCTCTCAGTTATGAATTATCAAGCTTTATATAGAATAGATCTTCCTTTAGTTTAACAACAGTAGAGTATTTAGGTATTTACTAGGGAAAAACAACAATAGATCACAAAATATCTTGTGTGACAGTTGAGTAGCCAGAAGCCACCCCGGAATTACTCCACTTCCTGCTGCACAGGAAGGATCCTTGCATCTGCAATTCTACCAATGTCATTTCCAGGGAAGACCTCAGGTTACTCTCTGTGCCAAGGGAGAGGAAAAACAAGTCTCTGCCAGCTGTAGAAGCCGAGAGAGAAAACAGATGTGGTGGAGGAAGTGGAGGCAGCTGCCCAAGGGCACTCGGCACTTGAGATGAAGGGCAGAGGGCGCTTCAGGGCGAGAAGACAAAGACA